CTGGAAGAATGTGAGAGAACAGTAAATTGTCCAGATTGTGTTTAATTGTAGAAGAATTCAAGTTGAGTTGAAAAGCTCACAAAGAAGAAAATGTACGTATTGTTTCATTCGTCAAAAAAAAAATCAATAAAAAAAAGCAGTTGTCTGAAATATTCCAATGTTTGTATTGATGAAATTTGAAATTTGTAGACATTGTTCCTCTTAGGGGATGACTATTTGATTCTGAATTAAGGGGGGGGGGTCGGCAAATTTTGTTGAGACAGATTATTTTGCTTTTCATGCCAGTCAAGGGAAATTCATTTATTTTCAAGAGTATCAAGGACAGATTATTTATTTTCTTCTTTGTCTTAAGGTACCTTGATAAATTAATACCTTCAAGTGATTATCATGGGCGGATTTGTTATTTGGGGGTGGGGGTGGACAACATCCTATAGACAGGGGGTCTTGGGACCGCCAAAAGGCCCCTAGTGGGCCCCATCCGGAACACCTCCGGGCCTTTCACAGAAAATTTTGTGAAAGGCCCGAGAGGTGTTCCGGATGTAGTGGGTCCAGGACGAAGCCCTTTGTGGGGGGCCCAGGGGACGAAGCCCCCGAAAGCTACTGGTGTTTTGTGTATTCTATGAGTAAAACTAGGCACAAAGGTAGTGGTATTTGTTAGTTATGTACCAAAGTATAACATTATTAATGCTAGTCATGTCATATTTATTTGATTGAAAGGGGTCCAGGGGGCAAACCCCCGGAAACTCCTGGTTTTTCGTGTATTTTAAGAGTAAAATTAGGCACAAGAATAGTGGTATTGTACCAAAGTATGGCATTATTATTATCATACTTTGACAATTTTAAGGAGGGGGGCATGCCCCCCCCCTCCCCACGTCCCCCTTCAATTCGCCAGTGATTCTTAAAATAAAAAAAAAAAAATTGGGCTATATTAACATTGCTACAGTGTATAATTTTTTTACAAGAAAATTTATTTTTTGCCGTGCATAAGAATTGGCTTGTATTTATGTGATTCATCACACCAACTGAGTGCACATTGTCGTGTAGGTTAACTGACTACTAGTATCCAGTCTCTACCGCAAGTATTGTCTTATCAATGATGCTTGTGGTAGTGGTCATCATGGTCATACATTCATCTTCTTTCTTCTCACATTTATATAAAAGGACTGCCAATCGGATTGATGCATTTGGCCATTGTGTTACGTGCACAAGGATTTTTTTTTATCTCATTTTATTAATACTATGTGGTTCTAAAATGGCGATCGCAGCGAGCCAAAAAGAATTGGTGAATTGAAGATGGCAAGGCTAAATTACACTGAAATAAAAAAAAAAAGGTATTTCTCACAATACTTGAATACCATCAGTCAATGTCAGATTATTTTCTTTGCAGTGGAGGACAGATTATTATTTTCAACATTTTCAAGGACAGATTATTTATTTCCAAAATCTGCCAGCCCCCCCCCCCCCTCAGAATCAAATGGTCGTCCCCTTCAAACTCAAATGAATATGTTGATCGAATGACTAGTATGATGAATGATGTGTTTACTTTTGTAACTATCTAGCAAATGTGTATAAATGGTAATTAATTTAAGGCTTTTACATTATCCATGTAATGGTTTACTGTATAAGGAATTCATAAATCCCCCCTCCCTTTTTATGATGTTTTTTTTTTTTGATTCAGTCATTATTTATTGAATTGTGAGCTATGTATGTCTAAATTCTGAAGTACTGATATGAAAAAAAATCCAAAAATATTTTTTTTTTGGAGACGTTTTTAGGTACTATATGATTAAGGTTTACTGTATTTTTAAAATTTTTGATTTGAAAATTTAACAAATTTTGACTTTCAATATTTTCTAAAATTTATATTTGCCAACGACAGTTTTTTCACATGTTGTTAACATAAGCATCCTTAACAATAAGCAACAACATTTATTGGATTCAAATACTGGTTGTTACAGCAATATCAATTCTACCTAAAATTGTCACTTTTTCCAAAAATTGGAAAAGTGCCAATTTCATGACCTTTTTGCACTAAAACAAAATGGATGTAAATTATTTTGACTATGCATTTGTGAAGAACTAACCTTTATCCTTTTACTACAAAAAAGAATATCTAATTAACTTGTAAAATTGCAATATTATTTCTCCTCAAAATATGACTAAAATGTTTAAAAAATTACCTCTAATTTTGTTGCATATGAGCTATTTTTAGTAACAGGCCATAAAACTTATATGAGTTTAATCAGCCCGATAAAAATTTGTTTGATTTTCATTCATGCATGCTAGATTCGGCTCACAAAGTTTGAAGGCGATCAGAGAAACTTGCTTCTGGACCATTTTGCATGGTTTTCTCTGAGACAGGCACTTAATTTATAAACAACTTTGAAACATAATTTATTTTGAGGTATCAATTTATTGGAACATATTCATTAATTTTATCTTGTTTTATTTCAATTTGTGAGTTAGAAAAAAAATCCAACTGCAACCAAAAGTAAACGTTTTAGTCTTTCTCCTTGAACATTGAAGTGTTTATACTCACCATTTTTTTTTTATTGAGCATAAAGAGAAAATTATGCCATAATGTAAGAATGATTTAATTTTTAGAAACTTATACAGTATTACAATCGTTTGTTGATTAATGTAAAGTTAAACCTATTGCATATAAAATACTAGCATAAAGTTGGATAAAATAAGTCCTATTTTTGTGTTTTGATATGCCCCCTTTTCACTGCAATAAAGGCTACCTCCGATTTTCTTTTCATTTTTTAAGAGGGATGTGAATTGCATGATATATGTGAAAATCAAAACATTTCATCATTTATTTTTGTTAATTTGTCAATTCCTTTGTTTATTGAGGAGTTTTAGTATGTAATTGTGTATAAAAACACGAAAAATGGTCCATATCTTGATAATGACCCCATTTGACTACAATAAAGGCAATGTAACAAAATTTCATTCTAATTTTTCTTAGCATAATACAAACAAATTTATTTCCAAGAATCAAAATTTTTTATCATTCCGTTTTCGTAATATCCAACTAGATTGGGCCTCGTTAAGCAACAAATACAAAGTATGACTCGGTATGTCATACAGTTGTATCATATATTAGGTCATTCCAAGATTTTTATGTCACTTTAGTCACTCAGACAGATAACTGTAAATAATAAATAATAAAAATGAGATTAAAAATGCTTTATCTTTATACATTTCAAAGTCCAACACAAACCAATATATATGTAGGGAAAGATTAGTTTTTATGTTAAATTTGCATGGTGATAGTGACTAAAGGGAAAGTAAATGGATCTTTGAGGTTTGATATTGAAAACGTTGGAAATTGCTTCATTTATCCATGATTATATTTTATCAAAAGAATTATTGATTCTATTGCTTTTGGTCAATAAATGCTTTACTTATCAGTTTACGTTGGCTTATCTTTATTCTTATAGATTCTTTATCACCTTTTTATACCCAGATGGCCGTTAAGACCCTTGGATCTCTTGTTCTGTGTTTTTTTAAGCGTTTGCGAGTCTTTGGTTTTTGACATCCTATATTAAAAGAAACAACAGGGGTTTTGACATTAATTATTATGGTCGAAATCTTTGCGTTCTCTCACGTTTTCCATACGAAATGTTTGAATATTTCATATAAGATTTTATAAAGATTGAATACTTTGCTTTTGCTTAGGAATTGATCTTTCTATGACAAATATAGATTTATGAAAGCGTTATTTTTTAAAATATGAAACATTGAAAGAGAGAGAGAGAAAGAATAGTATTCAAGTCCATTTAAACAATACAAGTCAGAGCAAACGCGAACCTTAAACAATATTGCAGTGCCATGAAGGAGTGAGCATCCCCTGCCGACCTGTCACACCCGACGTGTTCTCATTGTCTTGATTAGGAAAAACAAAAAAGTTAGAAAAGTTAGTGTATAAATAATGTCCTTGCAATAAGTATAAATAAATATCAGTCAGCATTTGATTCAATGATTAGGTTGTATTTATTGACAATGTAATTGTATCGACCAAACAATTAGCGAAACGATTTCTTCCCTAGAGACTGTTGATATCTATGTTTTATCAACTTATTTGCCGATAGCTTTCCCCGTTTAAGAATGTGTTCAAATGTAGACCATGCTTTGGCATATCGAATCAAATGGGAGACATAAACCCCATCTGCAGGTGATAAGGATATATTGCTACCTAAGTAGTTTAGCATTTACGTCTTTTACTTGTAAAAATTTCCAAAAATGGAGCAGATGCTTCAGACTCTGACGTCATAAAGTCTGTGTGTTAATGTTTCGCTTATATATTTTTTAGAATAGCTAGGTGGGTTTTAAAAACCATCATGGGCGCTAGATAGGAAAAGAAAACTTTGAATGGCCTTGACATATGACATTGATTCTTGTTGTTCAATGAACATGTCTGCATCGTCCTCACATTCATTGCTTAGAAAATAACAACATTTCCAGGTTCAATAAATTTATGTTGATTTTTCGATTATTCTAACTAAATGTAAATTACGTCAAGTACATAGTAAAAGTCAAGACTTTGTGTCTCTTATGCATGTCAATTTCCCGAGCTCGAGGCTGTCATTATTTCTCATGTCAGTGGGAGGATCTATGTACATGAAGATCGAATGCATTGTGTATATAAGAATTAGAAATCGTTGTTAGTTTGTTGGACATGTCAGGGACATAAACGGCTATTGAAAACGTGGGATAATCTATGCATAATATGCTAAAACTATCCAACTTATCCAAGTACTGTAGATCTACACCTTATTTTCGCGATATAGTCTTTAACTGTAATTTTTCTTAAAGAATTGTGGATATTGCTGTATATGTTCTTAAAGAATAATTATACACGAGATTAAATTATTGCGAACTTGTTGTCTTGTGTAATAATGCAAAAAACGTGAAATTCAGTATCGTTAATGCCCTGGCATATCTAATAAACTAAACATTTATTCATCTTATGAATATGTTTATCTCTTCTATAGATAACTAATAATGATGAGGTGGCCATGCTGTCTACGCACACAACGGTAGCCACGTACATGGGACCTACAGTTATAAAGGCAGTCTTTCCAAGTAGCTTGAGAAGAAGAAAACGATCCCCGACCGAAATTGTATATGGGAATGGTTTTGATATTAGTCTGTCATATGATGATGTCAACTATGGGGAATCTATGTCATTAGTCATATACAATGACGAATGTTACAGCTGCAATGCAAAAGTACTCGAATGCAATATGACGGTAATTAAAACATATAAATGATGATTATTTTTGTTCGTTAGAAGGTAATTGTATATCAAGGACATACGCAACGTACCTTATCTACTGAGAGTTTTTCGAGATATTTCTAATTTAAAATTTAAGTGCCATTAGATATTCGTAGACTAGAAATGAGCATGCATTACCAGGAGTTTTTGCAAAATAATCAATTGATGAAAATTCTTGAATAATTTCAAGAAAATACACAAAAATTACTGAACTTTTATTATAGATTTTTTCATTGTTTAAGAAGAAGTGTGCAAAACAAAATATAGATATTAAAAGAGTAGCACACAGGTCCTTGAGGTATTGGAACTCTTCATATCCAAGGAGAAACACAATAAAGTTCAATCTACGTTGCGTATGTGCTTAAATATTCAAACGCATATATGTGCATCCCTAAATCATTTATCTTAGTTTAAATATTAAATAAAAACTAATTATTTTACAATTTCTATTATAGAGGCCCTGTCCAGAGACCACCACTCCGGAGCAAACAACGAATAAACGATTATCTACTTTTCCACATGATTTGAAAGCAAAGAACGAAGAGACCATCGGAGGTAATTTTTTGTTTTATTTTCTGTTCTCTGTATTCTTCTCTAGTTTTATCATACACGTTTTCGTCAAGAAAATGTTGATGTATGCTTAAGAACGTTGAGAGTCAAGGCTTTTAATGCTCGATTGTAAGCGGTTGCTTCCACAATATTTAATTCTTTTATCTCATGTATTTAATGTTACTAGGAATTTCCAATTATTTATTGATAATCAGATTAGCTTTTTAAGTAAGTTATGAATGCCAAATAATATATTACTTTTTTTTTTAGATATTCTTCTTCCTCTGGGTATCAGTCTGTTTGTCCTTCTTGTCATTAGTATAGTCAGCGTCATACTTTATAGAAAGCTGCGTACATCTGCAAAACCCTGGTACGATAAAAATTCCATTTTTTCTTCAGCATTCCTTTTTTTCACATTAAATATCTGAGAGAAACAAAGTTGCATTCTGGATCTGGAAATAAAATAACGGAATCTGAGGGGAAATGTTGATGTTAAATTTTGAACCAAACACAAATAAAAAAAATGGATTACGATGTCATCTTTGAAAAAAGTACATGTTTTATTAGTGTCTTTCTGATACAGCTGACCTACGAAATTAATGTTACAAAATAAATGTTTAAACTTTTTCACATATCTACCTATATAATGTTTTGTAAAATATTACTTTGAACATAAATTTTACATTTTACTTTTTATTATTATTTAGCATCGCTTCAATTGTTGCTGGCACTGTGGCTAGAAACCAACCACACATTGAAAATTATGAGGCACTAGCACAAGATAATATTCACTTCCAATCCCCGTTATATGATACTCTTACGTCGAAACCGGAGAACATTGGATCAATTTCAGAGTCACTGAGAGAGAAAACTTCAAATATTCCAGTGGAATATGAGAACACCTTGCCTGGACCGTTTTAATAACCTTACAGCATGCTTTATTTGAATCCAAATGCTTAGCTACACATTGGAACGAAATTTTACGTTCATATATCGAAGAGCGATTCTTTGAATTTTTACCTTCTCCATGATTACAATAGGATTTGCATATAGATCTACATGTATCATGTATATACTGTTTAATAGGTAAATCCTTGATGGGAAACTGTGAAGCATCATGTTTATTTTTTTTTTCAGGTATTTCTAAGCTGGGAAATAAATCAAAAATGTTGTTTCCTTGAAATTTTTTAAAATAGTTTATTCTAATGAGAGAAATGAAAATTTCGACAAGTTTTTATCCTGAGAGGCTAATAAACAATTAAGATGATTAATTAAGATGCAAGAACAAAGAAAGTAAGAAATGTCCGATTAGATATACTTACCCCTCTGTGTTATTTTTAAGAAAAGACAAAATCACCAAAAGTATTTAAGCATCTAGGGGTATTCCATTTTTTTTTATTATGTCAATCATAATTCATGAATGATGAGCTTAGCCAGCATAGCCTAAAACATCCAGTATACTAAATCCTTATATTGCTTATATTTTAGTAGATAATAAAAATCAATGCATTTTAACCATCTGTCATATTTGTTAAAGTGTATAGTTCCTGGACTTCATATTTTTCTACAGATGTGCCAACAGGTAATTTCTTGATTGTGTGTTTCGAAACTAATGAACCCAAGTGAGGAAGTCATATCTGAAATACATTACATTAATTTGAAATGTGAATAGATTGAAGTTTGAAACAAATTCATGTAAAAGGAAGAAAATATGATGAAAGTAATAGATGAACATTTTTATATGGTGAATAATAATTAATGATTAAAGAGGCATTTGAACAAATCCATTCAGCAAACTCAAAGGAAATGTCCTAACAAAATCATGTCGATAGACAGACAGAATAATATGATGATAACAACACATCATCTTTTAAAACTACGTACATATACATGGAGCTAAAAAATAACAAACATTAATCAAGCTCAAAACTCAAACTCAAATCGGAAGCAGAGTAAATAAGAGTTTTTTCAGTAATCAAATATTGGATCAGGTGCCGCAAAGACGTAAGCATACACTGTCCATCGTTAGTAGCTGCCATGCTTTACTTGTCATCCTTGGAGGAACGGAAAGCTATTCAGGACTGAAATAATGTAGAGATTGGTATTAATACTGAAATGAAATATGTGGAGATAACGAACAGTATTCAAGCTAAAAAGTCCACCAAACAATACAAAATTGAAGCAGAGGAAACACGGACTTAAAAAAACCAGAAATTGGATCAGTGTCATGTTGTAAATTTTTATTTTAACTGGAAAATCCTTCGATGATTTAATGTGTATATATTGACCATACAATTATTATGAAAAACGTCAGTTAGCTGATAAATTGTATCGACCATAGAACTTACGAAATGATGACTTGAAAGAAGGCTGTTGATATTCTTGTTTCATCAATTTCTCTTTCAATAACTAACCTCGGTTTAGAAACTTGGTATCATTTACCTCAAGTTCACCTGGTTATATCGTATCGACATAGAATAGAAATAACTATTGTTAATTTACAATACGTCTTCGATATATCTACGTAAATGTCGAGTAGAATCAAGTGTTATCTTCTTTTCACGTATAAGATTTTGGAAAATGATTGCTCTATATGAATACGAAATAGATCTGTTAGTAATGGGGCGCAATTGGTACCCATCAGAAACTCAAGCATCTTTTTTGATGGGCTTTAAACAACCTTTTTGCTATTTCATTGTTAAAATGATGACCCTGAGCTATCGCCTTTTGTTTGATGACTTTTGACAACGTCATTGTTTCCCTGTCTCTCCTTTTTCTGCATCAGTATAGTTTTCTTGACGAGATATCATCGTGTTACTAAATACTTATTGAAACCGATCTTTTGACTTCAAAACACAATGTTAAAGATTGGCATACGCTTAAAAAGAAAGATCCGAGTCAGTTGACTTTTGCAGCTTATTTCGCTCTTTTGATTTCGATTTTTAACATGGCGAGCAACTTTATACTTTTTGACGTAGCTGTCTTTGGACTCTAAGTGGTGATATGATGTGGTTCTATTGGGAAAAAAATGCTAATTAAGTAGTTCATATTTCTATCAATTTCTTTCGGAAATACGTAATCCACGCATGTTTTGACTGCCATAAAAGAGTTTTACGGGGACACATTCTCAAACGTTTGGTTTATTTTTTAAGCAAGCATAATTATATCCAATATTTATTTCCACTATAAAGCTTTGATTCAGTTTAAACTTCAATTTTTCAAATTAAATCTCTGGCCCAAATGTAATTCGAGGCGAACATTGTTCTTTGTAAGCAATAGCTTTAAAGATCTTTTTCTTGAAGAAATCCAATCAAAGGTATCTATGTAAGATTGCCCTTGTGTATCATTTGCCTGAACGTCAACATGTGTTGCTATGCTGTACCTTAGTTTTGTCTATATACATTGATATCTTAAGTCCAAGTATGTGGAATTAAACGCAATCTGAGCAGACAATACACAATAAGTGTGCAGCTAATAAAGTAGAACGCCTCATACTTAAAGTTAGTGAAATATAACGAGAGAAAATTTTAAACAATGGAGAACAACAAGGAGAATGTCAAAGAAGATTCCGAGGAAGCCTATGATTTAATAACGCTTTTCTTTTCTTTGATGGAATATATTGATTTAAACAAAAATTCACCACGAATCCGTTTATTCATGAGTGCGTCTGATACTTCTGGTGAAATTTTGTTCTTTACATTACAAAACATGGAACAATTTGCAGAAAATGGTTTTAGCATAGCTTTTTTTACTTTGTGTGTATTCTCCACTGTTTGCCTTTGGATTTTCTTTTTAATCACTCTTTGTGAAGATATTAAAAATCCATGGATTAAATTTTTGACAAAAGTATTCGGATTTTTTTTCGATGCCTTCCTTGCTATTCACGCCTATTCCATGTTCAAAAATAATGATAACCAGGAAATAAATTTAGCAGTGTTTATACTTGAAATCCTAGAATGTTTTCTTGATATCACTGAGACTATCTACCTGCTGTACAGATATAAAGAATTAAGGTTAGTTTCCCTCAAATCTGATAGAACTGCTACTTGAATAATTATTTTCAAAAAAGTTTATTGTCCCAAACTTTATTAATCTTTATGACATTTTCACTTCTTTTACCATCACGCTTAGAAACCTTTGCATCAAAGAAAGTTTACAAAATCTATTTAAAAAAAAGAAAACTTCTTGTGTGAATGTCCTTGTTAAGTTCTAAATCAAACAACACTGAAAATGGGAAAAAGAGTATTTTTTCAGGTGGGTATCCTTTGTGTTTTTTTTACAAAGGAAAAAAATCTTTGTTTGCATATGCAACTATAAATATTTCTAGTGTTTTTCTTTTAATTTGTTACACCATCTTTCATAAAGATTGTGTATTTTTAAATGCTATATAACTTTTTGTACTTTTTGTTGAAAGTAAGGTTGTAAATATCATAAAGTGTCTTTCAAATGTCTAGTCAAAATAAATAAAATTTTATTTTAGACAATTTTTTCTCAACATCATCAGGATGAATTCTGGGGCAAGCATTGGTGCGGCGAAGAATTAACAGAGGTATATAAGTGTTAAAAAACACTTGTTATAGAAGAGGCATAAATGTTTTTTAAGTCTCTTGCATAGAAGAAAAAATGTGAGAAAGAAAATAATTGACAAAAGCTCTTTTCAAAATTGCCATTTCACAGAGGATATCACGATATAAGTCACATTAACTAACTGGTAGTCTAAACAGAAAATAAAGCACATAATTCAATGGTCTGTTTTAAATGCTGATCCTCATGCTGGCTGGATGCTGTTTTGCTTAAATGCTGGTGCTGATTCATGTGACAAAATTAGTTCTTTGCGTATGTTAAATGTGTCTCTTTGTAATGCATAAGAAATTAATCAGCATTATATTGCCAATATTATTGATTTCCATAAAGATTATATAATAAATTAAACAACATCCTATGGTATCTTATAATAATGCCTTGATGTAAGGAATCTTTCTGGTGAGGAGACCTGTGAAAGTAACGATACTTCAATGACAAATCCTTTTTTTAATTATCTGTTACCAAATAACATTCAGTGTTGTCTGACTTTAATGTTGTAAATTGAAGTAAAATGCCGAATAAAATATCCAGCTATAAATTTAAAGAGGTGTTGCAGACTTGAATATTGAAATCACCTCAAAATGTCTCTTACTTCTAATGTCGCAAGGATCACCAAAATAGAACTAAATCTGGCAAGAAACTACTCGTGATTTTTTTTCTGGAAATAAAGTCTTATTGGATTTGACTCTTGTCTCAGATAATTTTCTCGTTACCTTGAGCATAACACAGATTTGAATTTTCATGGCACTTAGAATGATGAACATTGAGACAGACTATCTAATGTCAAAATGACGTGTATTTACCGTCTTCCTTGGAAGACGGTATTATATAGTTGAAGTTTTTTACAGTCTTCGGACTATGCACTTCCTCTCTTTCGTGATTGGTAGAAATTGCATGATGAGAAAATTTTCAATTATTTCATTGGTTGAAATGGTGTTCAAGGCAAGGGAGATAACTTTCTGATGGTCTAATTTTCGTACGACTTAAAAAATTTTCAATATTTGCAATCTTAAAAAAATGACAAAACGAACAACAAAATGAACTGTAATTAATTCTAAATAACAATATTTTTAATAGCTATTACTAAAAAGGTCTCTTTATTTTCATCAAGTTGCAAATAAGACTGGATTTTTATTGCTTGCTTGCTTTACAATTTGTATTTTTTCTTTTCCCCTTATTTGTTTGAAGAAGGTAACATTTTACGGAGATGACCGAACGGCAACCACAGTAGGCTAATACCCAATTGCAACTTCTCGGGCCTTTCCGACAAGCGGGAAAACGACCTCGAGGTTGTTTTTCCGACCTTTGACGGAAAGACCCTAGATGATGCGATTGGGCTA